CCCCCCACCAAGGCCGCGCGGCCGAGGTCAGTGACCCGCCAAGGCCGCGCGGCCGAGGTCAGTGCCCCGCCAAGGCCGCGCGGCTGAGGTCAGTGACCCCCCTCCACCAAGGCCGCGCGGCCGAGGTCAATGACCCCGCCAAGGCCGCGCGGCCGAGGTCAATGAACCCGCCAAGGCCGCGCGGCCGAGGTCAGTGACATTACTGTAGTATGTATATAATACATATAATACAATATAAAGTATAATATTATAAATATGTATATAATACACATATAATACAATATAAAGTATAATATTATAAATATATAATAAATTATATGTATAATATGTATTATTTAATGTTATATATAATATAAATTACAGCCACGTTATTTTCACGTGTTGTTTTTCTACTCTTTCCTGTCACGTGATTTTAGTTACGTTTTTAATTTTCTCTACATATAGACAAACTGTCTTAAAATCGCTTTTCATTATTTACTCTCTCGATCTTACCGATTCGATTCGACTCGATCAACCAACTAACCAATCGGCAACGCGGAAAAGGGGCAACAATAGGTATGATATATTCTATTCCAAACGCGCACTTCTCGGTCCAAATGCGGAGGAAAAAAAAGACGTAGCGTGTGTGCACGCGCTGCGCAACTCGCAATTTAAATACGTACCACATCGGTAAAGTAACGTTCTTTCATGGCATTTGGTCTGTCGTGTTCTAAGGACGACCTGATAATGGGAACTATCTCGGTAAATCTCTTCAACTCTGTGTACGCCCAGACCTTCAGACATCTTATGTCGATATACCGAGCTTCTCGTATCGTAGACATGATTTCTATAGCTATGTGAGGTGCATTCTGTTTAATAGCCAGAGCAGTTAAAAATGTCGTGGCTCTACGCATAAACGTGAATCCTTTTTCATTTATTTCTTTCCAAAGATTTACTGCATATTCTAACGTTTCTGGTGTATTCTAAAAAAAAACACATCAGGATAATGATGTAGAAGACAAAGACTTGTGTAAGTTGAAGTTTAATTACCTCGCAAAAATCTCACCTCTTTGTAACAAGCTGCCATGACTAATATCGAGGAATTCTTGGGATATCCATTTACTATGCGCTTGGTTTTAATTATGTCATATACCTCTCTCATTTCTGCGTACTTTTTGTGTTTGTACAACAAACACAAAAGAATCTGATAGGAGATGAACTGATCGAAGAAATTCTCAAATTGAGGATCTTTGAAAGCGGTAAGCGCAAGTTCTGGTTCATCAAGATAGTAAAGAGTGCGCATCACCACTGGTCCAAAGATAAATGTGCCAAATTTCATCTCTTTGTTTTGCTTGTTAAACTTTGTTATCATTTTGATCAGTAGTTCAATGTCTTCCGGTTTCTTTTGAGCCAAGTGCAACATGGACTTTAGGTCTTCCGTGAAGATCATACTCGACTCTGACTCACATACTTCTTGCATCTTTGTACGAAATGTGTCCTCGACATTTAAGAACTGATTGCGAAAGTTTAGTCGTGCATTTTCGTATCCTTGCAAGCCTAGACTTCTCTCGGAATATAGAAATCTACATGCTACAAGATATCAAATTGTTAAGTTTTGTGTGTAATAAAAAAACACTTGTGTGTATACGAGAGTAAAACTATTGTGTGTGTGTGTGAGAGTAAAAGTCAAAAGATTCTCGTCTTTGTAATTTACACGATAAAAGTTGTTCTTTAACAAATTCTGTTTCTTCATGATTTTTTTTTTTTCAAAACTTATCTTCTCACAAAGAAACCAATCAAAAATTAACTTACACTAGTTTGACCATTTTTCAAGAGATACATGGCATATATATGTGTATGTATATATACAATGTACCAATTTCAATCAAGTTACGTAATATACCGGATAAATAATCCTAAATTAATTTGGCAAACGTACTCGTGTACTAATAAAATCGCTGAATGCGTAAAACCGCAAAATACAAGACTGTCGCAATTGTGACGCAAGGTTAAGTCGACATTACGTACGATTTATGACGCTGCTTCTCAGAAGAGTCTTGTACGCCAGTCCCACATTGAGCTTCATTAGACATCTCATTGTCGCCGCCATTGTTTCGTATAATCCTTTTTTCTTGTATTAAAAATTCCGTTCACCTGGACAACGTGAAAGATATCTTTGATTAGCGCAAGAAACGAAGCTAGAGAAGAAATCAGTGTTCCGATATTGGAGAGGCTGTACGCGCATGCGCGGCGTTTATAACGTCACAAAAGTATCTAAAACAAGTAATATGGGGTACTGTCACTGGAACCGATTATTTCATTTAAAATTTTTAAAAAAATGTAAATATAAAGGTGACACAC